AAAAATCCTGCAGGGTGTGGTTCAAAGTGGAATTGCGTAGAAGATCGGAGAAAATCGGAGCGTAGGAATTGAATTGTAAGCCAGATCCTTGAAAAAATCCCCATGATCCTCGATGACGGAATCATCCCGGAAGATCCCGTTCCCTTCCATGTAAATCCTTCCCTCCCTTGGTAAACAGTAACTTACTGGAGCAATTCTTCCTTATTTGGGCGGCTTCCAATCCAGGACTCACCGGGGGCGATTTCGCCAGGTCCGGAAACAGGAGTCGAGGAGTGGCAGGATTTATAGAGATTTCGCGGTCGCCGCCCAATCCCGTATCGTGTATCCCGAATCCTGCAGGCAGGATCGAAGGCACGTGACCTGCCCACCCAATGGGAAGTCGCTTTCCTTCGGGTCCTTCCTCCAGGACCACGGAAAGGTCGGAGTCCTTCGGGAGGGAGCGAGCTCGGTTTTCCTGCATCACCGATGCATGAACTCCCCTTTCGAGGGCGGGTAAGGTCCTTGGATCTCTCGTCCTTGGACCGCTCCTCGGAGCATCGACACCATCAATTATTTATTTAACCCCCGATCGCGGTAAATAATTCCCTTCTTCCCGTTTTCGCCAGACAGGATGCACCGCCCGTGATTGGTCGCGCTCGGCAAAGAGGAGTCCTGCTGCAGATGCACGTGCTCGCCATGACGATGCCGAAGATGAATGCAGATCTGACACTCCTCGAATGTTAATTATACCGCGAAAGCGAAGAAAATTGCACACCTCAGAGAGCTAATTGCAGAAACGGTCGGCCGGGAATTCTTGAGAGAATCCTTACGCGAGGATGTAGAAAAATCATCGCATGGAAATAAAATAGGCTTTCAGGCTGTAACGACCTGGGAGTTTTTCAACCTTTTCTGAAATTTCTCCTTAAAATTATTACATTTTCTCTTACCTTTCATGTTAGGAAGTCACCGTAGAAGGCACTTTAATGAACGTCAACTCCACTTGTAGATACGGGGGGGATTCCACGGGGAAATGTAAATATCCTTTAGAAAGAAATTCCATTTTTAGAAGTCCTTGCTACATCCCTTAAATAGAACCTTGTTACAAGTCCTCTGTTTTCAGATATTGCTCTCGGAATATGAACGTCCCTTAAATTCTGCGCCATTTCCGGGAGATTCCCAGGAGTATAAATACCCCCTTGCCCCGTCATCTCGTCCTTGTTGTATCCATCCTGATTACGTTAACGATCGTCCGCGGGAGCATTCTCGGGATGAGGCCACTTTCCTTGGTCTCGCATCTCTCCCCAGGAATAAATTCCCTCCGCAGTAAAAATGGAGTCGATCCGAATCCGGGATGATCTCGGTCCCGTCTTCGGGCGAGCAAGGGGGAGGATTCGGACGGCGGAGAACGTTCGCAAGGATTTAAGGCTCCCATAAATCCCTCGGGCCATCCCTTAAAGCCCACCATGGGCACAGTGGTCAGCCAGCTTTTACCAGATTGTGCTCCTCGATACCCATCAAGCCCGACCGAGGCATATCCACCTCCTCGTCCCTTTTCGACACCCTTGACCACCCCTTTCGCCTCTTTCTCGATTCTCTCCTCTTCCTCCTCCTTTCGCCTCCTTTCGCCTTTCTCCTAGCTCAGCGAACTCGGTTTCCTAAGCCTCCGCTTCTCGTTTCCACGGACTCGACAATCCGATCACCTACTTCTTTGGGATCTCCAACTTTAATCCTCCCTAAAAAAGGAAAGAAATGGGGAACGACCCGGCTCGAACTTCCAGGCTTCTTTCCCCTTTCTTTTATATATTTTTCATTCGTTGTCGCAACTTCGAAAGTCGGGAAAAATCTCTAGTTACAAGATTTCAGGTCGTTTGCTGACTGGGGGCTGATTAAGTTCCTAAAGAGGACAACGTGAGAATGGGGCTCTTACTTTTTGTATTCATTTCTCTTTCTTTGAAGTGAAACGTTTAAAAGTTCAGGAAAGAAATCCCATGTTAATCATTGCGGAGGTCTTGCGATTTCTTGATTAGAGATATGATTAAACAAGAGGGGGAAAATTGCCTGATTAGTTTTTTTTAAGGATGGCGGAAAATTGCGATTGTGGTTAAATCACCGTGAAACACCAAACTGCCTGTCTCTCTCCCTTTGCCTTTCTCGCCACATTTGAAACGGCCCAATTATCGATGGCGGTTCCTGAGGGTTCGATTCGAAGAGGGTGCAATCGATGTAGCGTGCAATGCTTCGATTTGAATTCATGAATAATTCCTCGGGAAAGGATCGTAACGGCATTGTGGGCCGAAGCCGCAGCCTCCTCCACTTCCGCTCCGAAATGCGCGAATTTCCAGAGCCGGACCTTCCGTCGTACATCTTCTCGCTATTTCGCCCGGCCGATTTAATTCAACGGACTCGCATAAATCCCCCGTGATCTATCTGCATGGCCTCGAGCTCTCATATCTCGCTTTCCTTATTTTCCTCGATTTTATTTATCGCCGGCATGTCCCCCCTTCTTCATCGCAACTCCCTATCTAGAAAAAACCAAGAGAAAACACCCCCCCGAAAAATCATGATAAAATCCACATCTCCAGATTTTGCATGTCCTCGTAATCTCTACCACACTGCTCTAAAAGTTGGATTTTCAAAAATATCTCCAGTCTTGATTACCTTCTATAATTATTCTACTTGGAGTACTTGGGGAACTTTGGAGGTTATCCATAAGAGAGTCGGTGGGGAAATTTATTCATCCCCTTGAGTAATATCTGTACTGCGTGGAAATGTATTTGCCGAATTCATCCGAGTTGACGATCGGGTCCCGAAGGAGCGTAATCGAAGCTCCCTGGAAGTTTAATCACTCCGGGCTGGGAAGGAGGTCCGAAGACAATCTAAGTGTGCCAAAAGCGCGTTAAATCGGTGGAAAGGACGGAGCTTTCATCGGAGATTGATCGAGGCGCGTCTTTCGAGGGGGATGAAGGGGTTGAGTACCGAGGCGATATCGGTTTCGACACCAAGTGCTCCGCTGCTCGGCCATTAAACCTCCTTTACGTTTCTTCCTTTATTTCGACGGGCTCTCCGAGGAGCGGATCTAACTCCGCCGTGTTCGATTAATTTAATGACGGAGACGGAGGCTCTCGATGAAGGCGCGGATTCAATGGCGACGGAGCGAGCGACAGTTGGGGAGGGAGAGAAAGAAGGAGAGAGGAAGAGAAGAGAGTACCTAGGGTTGAAGACGGGAGCGCAAGAATACCGAGGGGAAGTTATCGCGAGCAGTTGTCCGCTTATCGATTCGCGAACAGAGCGAGAGCTTCGAGGGGCTTATTTCCTGCTCTCTTAAAAATGGATACCGACGGAAATCTCGGAACTTATTTATTGACGGAATGTCGCGAATCGTAGGCAAAGAATCGATTTGCGGGAAGGGGGAGGAAAAAATTAAAAAGCCTTTTTTTGAGCACCCTTAACGCCTTGCGCTACGATTTAATTATGACAAATTCTAGATGAGTTTAGCTCGTCATTGTAGCGCAAGGGATTAAGGAGATATGAAAAGGTTATTATATATATATATATATATGTTTAAAACGTCAAAATATTTATAAAATTTGTCTCTAAAGTGCATGCACCGAATCGTTGAAAAACTTCATCTGATTATGAAGCCCCCAAGAATGGTCCTCATGAAATTTCATTTCTGATAAAAACTGTTTTTTATTTATCCCAGACTAGTACCAAGAATATATATATTTTTTAAATGAAATTTCGTGGGCACCTCGTTCTTCCTTAGGGCTTTCATAATCACTCAGGGAATCGATTCACGGGGAGGGGGAGTGAAAAAATTCTAAGGGGTTATTTTAAGCTTATTTTGGCAAAAAGAACGAGTGAGAAGTTCAAAGAGCCTTTTTCGAGTTCTCTAAAAAATGGGCATGCGCTGAACATCGACAGAAACCTCGGAACCTATTTATTGACGGAATGTCGGGAGTAGGAGGGAATCGATTGGCAGAGAGGGTTCGTGCAAACGTAAGATTATTGATTTATAAAAATAAAGAGGGAGCTAAGAATTTTCTTACAATGAGGTATTTGCTAAATACCAATGCCGAACGAACGATCGACTATTGCATTTAAAGATTCATCGAAAATCGGAGTAAACCCCTTCGATGAAAATGTCGAAACAACGCACGAAGCCTGCGTTGCATGACGTGTAATTAAATGATTTAACGATAACCCGCGATAGTTTGAAGCTATTTAATTATTTGCACAGCGAGGAATCGCAGGGGCTGACAGGAACATCGAGGGGAAGTTATCGCGAGCAGTCGCCGGAATATCGATTCTCGAGGAAAGCGAGTGGGAGCTCCGCGAAGCTTATATTTCAAGCTTTCTCGGAAACGGGAATTCCCGTGGAACGTGTCAAAACCCAGGAATGGAATATATCCCGCGAAACATTAAAGCAAAATTGAACGTTTACAGATATTCATTTCATTTTTCGAATTTACGCATCTGAACGTCCTAATAATCGTAATGAAATATAATACGGACGTCTGCGGCGTTTAAAAATTTTCGACCTCTTTTAACGCAGCGCTTTTGTTATTCCCACATTCATATTAACAATACTCTCTTTCTTCGGTTACATTTCAATGAAGTATGAATTTAATTGTAAATAATTTCGATCCAGTTGGAAAGAAGTTTCATATGTTCAACGCTTAAAAATATATGTGCGGAAAAATCCAGGGGGTTGAAGGAGCTTCCAAGGGGTGAGTTTGTCTTCAGGGGAGGCCACCGTGAATATCGATTCCCGGCGAAAGCGAGAGGGAGCTGGTGTACTTGAAATTTCTGTAAAAATCTCCATCTTTGTCACTTGGGGCGTAAAGGAACTCTTGCGAGAGTTTCGCGCGAGGAAAATGTTTGCTAATTGTCTCTTCGTCGGATTTTCTCAATCCCTTTTTTTAACCGAGTCCCTGAACCGTCGAAAGACGTACTTACTGGCCATTTCGCCATTTTGCCGAGAAATGCAGTTTTTAAACTTTTTCTTTTTCTCGTTACAGAGGGAGGCGACGCAGCGAGATGTGGAACGGGAACGTCGACAACGCGTGGAAGCTGAAGCCAGGGTTCGGGAAGCTGCAGCTGAAGCCGAACGTGCACGTTCGAGGGTGCATCACCTTCAGAGAGAGCTCGCCAGGTACTTTGAAATTTCACTAGCCCTGAAAACAAATTTTTATCCATAATTCACCGCCTCAAGCGCTGATTTTCCGGGCGAAAACGCACATTTCTCTCCTGAAAATCCCATCCCGCCTGGGAACTTCAATTTTCGCGAACTTCAGGGATGCGCAAAAGGAGGGAAATATGACCGCAATCGGCACGATTTGTCCGTGGGATTCTGAAAAATAAATTGTTTCCCTCCATCGCCCTCGGGGAGCCCCATGAAAAATCGCTCTCCCGGATTCGCACGTTCTTCCGTTTCGAGCGATTTCTCCGGAAGTGGGAAATCGTTTCCTTTTATCCGGCAGCAGGGGGTCAATGGGGCTTTTCCATTGGCTCGCGCGTGTACATATATAAGACCGTGCTTTACCTATAAATAATGAGCCCGCTTTCCTCCTGGTAATAACTACCAGATCACGTGGTAAATCATCGATATTGGCCGCCACCGGTAATATATTGCTCGACCACGAGACTCGAACCCCGGATATTACCTTGGCGTCTATATATCGCGACAAAATTCTTGTCCCGGCTATCGACTATCTCGAGAGGTTTGAAAACGCGATTCGCAGCCTTTTTTTCACGTCCAAACTTTTCAGTCGGCGTTTAACATCCACGATCGTAATTTCAAAGAAGAAGGATTTCATGGATTATTTCATTTTTCACCGCGAATTTTGTAGATCACACGTGGAAAATGAAAATTCTTTACATAAATCTCGGGATAAATTCATTGATTGTCGGTAATAGTAATTCGAAGTATTTTATAATACGTATTTGATAATACAGTTGACGTTGAACTTCGACGATCGCAATTTCATAGAAATGGAATTTCATAGGCCAATTTCATTATCCACAATGAGTTTTGCAGATTACAGGAGAAAAATTAAAATTCATTAGATAAATGTCGGGATAAATTTCTTTTGTTCGACATTTTAAATTCAATGCATTTGGTAATGCGTACAAACAGCGGATGTACTTAGGGAGGTTAAAATTTCCGGGGAAAAAAAAAAAATGCGAAAGAGAAAAGAGATGCGTATCTTTGAGGGAGGAATACGTTATGGGCTATTTCCAAGGCGAAGTAAAACGACGTTTCTCATCCAGGGTCTTGTTCGGGCGTCTCTGAGGAATGTCGAGAAAGGAAAAAGGACGACACGGACGTCAGAAGACGCGACGTCGTGCGTCGATTTCCATGAGAATCGCATTTTAGCGAGGCTTTCTTCCCCGGCGAACCTCGTTGCTTGCACTTTGCGAAAGGCTTTCCCCGTAAGTTTAGGTGCTCTCTTAGGGGTGGCTCTAGACAAGTGCCGAGTTGCACCCAGACGGGGTGGAGGGAGGAAACGGAAGAGCGAAATAAACTGGAATAAAATAAAACGCTTCACTTTTCCCATCCCAAGAAAAAATTCGGCAGATCTGTCCGCGAATAAGTGATCAGAAAATTGTGTAAATTTACTTTTCCACCCCCGACACGTTTTCTCGAGATTATCCCCGAATTACGTAGTCAGGGAGAGATTGCCGATACATTTGACCAGGATAGTTTGCCAATTTCCCGCGAGTCTGTATATCATTTTAACTTTCACCCTCTACGAGAGAGCCACCCCTTCGAGGCGGCATTAAACGCTCGAAGGCGCCGAAACTTTCGATGCCTCGACTCCTGAGAAAAGGCAGCCCGACAGTCATATATTATGTATATCCATCCCTTGCGGAAATTGAAGGACGCCAAGAGCCGGGAAAATAAAAAATGCTAAACAAGGTCGTCACGAGGTGGGCCGATTTCCATGAAAATCGGGCTCGGCTTTCTTTCTCGGCGGGGTAAGCCTCGTTGCTTGGCCTCTGAGAAAGGTTTTTCCCTGAAAGTTAGGCGTCCTCGTAGGGGTGGTTCTCGACGACCGTGGGGCTCGAGCCAGATGGGGGCTGAACGAGAGAAAGGGGTGCAGGATATGCCGGCGACGAGGATGTTGGAAAGCAGCCATCGGGCCAAAACTAATGGGAAAAAGCGACCTAGGTCCTATAAAACCGGATAAACCTCCACCCTCGCTCTGCCAGTCGTATATAATGTATCTATAAAGATAACAGGGTTAATAATGCACAATCGATAAACTATTACGAAGGCTTGTCACGGTTTCCTCGAAAGCTATTTCGGTACCACCTTCGCTTCGGCGCCTTCATTACGTACAGGACAGAATTCATCTCATATCAATCTCTCGATTCAATATCTTCACAATGAAACCGGTAATTTAATTAATTTAACAACAAAAAAATATCCGAAGTATTCTTGCGGGTGTTCGCGTTTAGGGGTTGGTTTCCGCGAGAACTGCCTCTTGGGTTCTGGTTTTACATGGATCCATTTCTTTGTAATTAAATTACTAGGTACTTTAATGATTAATTTAAATAAAAGCAGGGGACGTATCGTCGATTTTCTGTCGATTTTCGAGAGAACTGCCGCTTTTGGTCGGTTTTACTCGATCGGTATAATTTCTTCATAAGTAAATGAATAATTGAAATAAGAAAAAATTGGAGGCGCACGTTCGCATCTGTGAGAAGTGCATCTTGGGCTGGTTTTTTCATCGATCAAGCCCGTTGCCTGCACTCCAAAAGTTAGAACCAGGGGTGGCTATCGAGTGCGGGGTTGGAGCCAAATGGGGGTCGAAAGGGGAAGAAAGGGAAGGGCGCGGGACACCGGCGATGAGTTTCTCCGTCGCGGATGTTGGAAAGCAGCCATCAGGACGAGACTAACGGGAAAAGGGAGACCAGGGTGTACAGTTAAACTTGGTGGCTGTTCCTGACGTACACCGTCAAGGGTGTCAGAGAAGTTGCGACCGAGGGGTGCGCGCGACTCCGGGCCGGGGGAGGAAAATGAGCATATCAGAAATTGCGGTGTAAAACGCTCGCTCGATATGAACCTCCCGAAATTCCGAGGATTGATTCCCCGATCTCGAAGATCATCCCCTAAAGCGGGGGCGAGATGATAAGATACGACCACTGAGGGATTTACGGTGAAAGGGATGATAAAACATGCATAAAGAGCGACACGGAATTTCGGGGAATAGCCAAGGTAGGAGAAGGGTGGGGCATTTAAATGGATCGACGATTATTTACCCCCAAAGTGCCCATCTCCCGATAATAACGCGACCTGGAATTACGTATTCACTCGCTGAATAATTTATCCGCGGGATTTGAAAGGGATTCTTTTTTTCCCCCAATTTTCTAGATACTAATATCCGGACTTCAAAGATCCGCGATAGGTTGTCCAGGGGCGGAAGGGAAATGAAGGAAAACGATCGCCGAGGGACAGGTACGATAAAACATGCAAAAGGCCCGACACAGAGCCTCGGGGATTGAAAAAGGGGGGTGTCTCTCGGCGACAGTTTTTATGTTTCACGCACCTCGCGTATTAAATAATGCATGTATGCAAACCGAAAATGATTTTCCGGAATTAAAAAATTCTTTTTTTCTCTCTCTCTCTCTCTCTCTCTGCCCTTTTTTCGGGGGCGTCAACAGCCGGACTTCAAAGATCGCCCCCCAAAGGGCGAGAAATAAAGCGGCGCGATTGCCGAAGGATAGACGGCGAAAGGGATGATAAAACATGCAAAAAGGATGACACAGAGCCCCGGGGGACGGGCGGGGATGGGTGGGGCGTTTAAAAGGCCCGACGATGATGTAGCCTTAAAGCCTCTCGTGGCATCGATCCACCCCTTACTCGAACCGGGAACAATGTCCTCGCCCTCGTGGAACCCACGAGTCGGGTTCGCATGAGCGGAAACCCCGAAGAGCAGCGGCTCTCCCTCTTGGTCCTCTTCTTATTTCCCACCTCCCTCCTTCTCGGGCGAGAACTTCTTTCCGCCACCCCCCGCGGCGACTTCGCGGTGACGTCGAAACTCGGGGCTCGAATAAATCTCCACAGGGTCCCTACGCTGGCCAGGATCTCCAAATATGAAAATCTCGAACATAACCCTTCTCGAGACGGAAAATATGCCCTCCACGCCGGATGCAAGACACCCGGAACATTTGCCCTAGGAATTAATTTTTTAACGCATTTTTTCCCTTGTTAACCCTTTCGAAAATTTAATATCGAAAGGGTTAACTCCTGAAGATTACGGCCTTGTAAACGTTCTCAACAATATTCCAATTTAATTCCTCTCTAGTTTTAATATTTCGGGTATTATCGGGGAGGGGGATTGTTAAATAGGTATTATTTTTATCATCGTTTCTCGGGTACGTTTTATTCTGGAGTAGTCGAGTCTCGTATGTTCCCCTCTCCTCTAGGAGTGCAATAACGCGGCTTGGGGATATCTCAAAGACCGTCTCGACGGGGATCATTATGGAAAATGTTATTTTCACCCTCCAAGAAACGGCGTTGCCACCCTTTGTGTGCATTTCGTGTCGAGTTCGCGTAAACGGGAGCTGCGACCTTCCCTCCCGCGTATGTCTCCGTTATTGCTGGCGACAAATGCGACAATGGGTTTCCATGATTTCTAGAAATGGCGCAAACACATTTTACCCCCTTCATACTATCCGAGATTCGGTACACGCGCGTGCTCTCAACTAATTTCACTTCGCAGAAAGGCGTACACGTTTCTTGCATACCTCGGAATCGTTACAAATGTGCATTCGATATCAGGTAAGGGATGAAAAGAAATGAGATATTTCTTCTTTATCAAATTTGAAATTTCAACACCGTGATGTGAGAACCACTGTTAGGGCCATTTACGAGAGAAACCATAGTGATTAGGCTCGGTGTGCTACGCAAACTATGATTAAAACTCTTTCCCTGTCTTTCCCCCTCTACACCCCCTCGCCCCACCTCTATTTACCCCTATCTCTCATCCACTCGCTGATAACACGACTCTCCGATAATTTTTGCTAACGTTTATTACCGTTAAAGGAGTATCAACAAAATTGAATTCCAGCCTTCGTGCAACTTATCGAATTTCATTTTTCCAGAATAAAAAAAATCCCCCTTTCAATCCCCATCCATTATGGATC